TTCACATAATAAAAATGTTTCGAAGACTTTCTTTATTTTGAAAATAACTCAGCTTCAGAAATTGATATCATGTTGACTTTTTTTCAATAGATGCGGCGTCGAGAGTTCTACAAAACCTATATAAAGAAATTCGTATCGATTTCCTCGGATGTCTTTTTCTAGACGGTTAAAAGACACGATCTACATGATGTTGCTACCAAATGTTCAAAAGTATTTGCAACATAGTTTGTCGTACAAATATCTCTTTCATACTCAAATGATAAAATCTTGATTTCTTTTTTAAAAGATGCGCTGCGAAAAGCTGTACAAAACCTGGGATATCAGAGTCTTATTAATCTGTCCTGATGGTTTCTTCCATACTCAAAATGAAACAAAAAATACATGATAGTGCTCTTTCTTATTCAATTTAACGTAATAAAAATGTTTGGAAGATTTTTTTTTGTTTAGCATGTATCTCGGCTTGAGGAAATGAAAATACCTTGATTTTTTTCAAAAGATGTGCCATTGAAAGCTCTACAAAAACCGTATGAACAAATTCCTGTTACAAAACAAAAAAAATCTTTGAAACATTTTTATTATGTTGGAAGTAGCGCTATCACACATGCGTCTCATTTTGAGTATGGAGGAAACTATCAGAACAAGTCAGTAGGAATTTGCTCTTGTAGTTTTTGTAGAGCTTTTCACGGCGCATCTTCTGAAAAAAATCGAAATTTTATCATTTGTCTATACAGAGATATTCACAAAACAAACTAATTATGTTGCAAACATTTTCGCATACCCGGTAAATTCTAATATCTCTTATATCTCACTGTTCTCCTACCTTAGTACTTAATCGAGTTTCCAGGACATCTAGATAACTTACAGACCATATGAGAGTGTGGATGGGTGTGGCTGTACTATTTCACGAAACTAAACTCACACACCCACACCCATAAGTAAGGTAGCAAAACTAGTTTTTTTTCGATTTATTTGTTGTATATCGTGAGCTAGGTTTCATATTTATACCATACACACTACATGGTGCCAGTAACAGATGTAGCATATGATCAATGTTTTGGTGTAATAATTTCTTCAAAAAGGTATAAATATATCTTAAGTGCTCCTATGTTACAGTATGAGAAATTCAATATTTTTCGTGTTGCTTTCGATTTAATCAATTTGCGAACTTTTCGAGACTAAAATAATACAAATTTTTGTTGAATCAAATTCATTTCTGAGATCAGGATAACTGAACAAAAATACGAAAATCAAATGTAACACGAAAAACATCGGAATCCGCTTACAATCACACCCAGGTCGAAAAGTACCGGCCGGTTCCGGCAGGAAAACACCGGAAATCAACGGAACATGGAAGCAGTATTCCGGCCGGAAATTTTTCGGATTTTTTTCCGGTGAATTCCAGCCAATTCCTGTTCTTTCCGGCAGGAACCGGCCGGAAATCCGCCGGAAAAAGTCCGAAAAATTTCCGGCCGGAATACTGCTTTCATGTTCCGTTGATTTCCGGTGTTTTCCTGCAGGAACCGGCGATTTTTCCGCGTCTTTCCTGCCGGTTCCTGCAGTATCCGGTGACCGGAACGATCGACCTGGGCATAAGAGGAATTCAAATACTTTTATACGCTCTTGACCATATTACTAAACTCTGAGACTGGTCATATGTCACATCTCTTACTTATATCTCATAGTATATTTAGCATAAGGATGAGACCTAACTCACGATATATAACAAATAAATCGAAAGAAGTACTTTTGTTACCTTGCTTATGGCCCACCTTGTAATTCATCCCAACCATTTGATTTTAGCAAACATATGAATCGGAAATAGACTTATTAACGAAGTAAATAAAAAGCCGAAGGTAGTTGCACTTAGACTTCCGATTTCAATCGTAACAGGACATTCTTTGGTTGAACCACCAACTCCATGTGGAAACTAATTGTAGTCTTTTTTGTTTTTGAACAGTTAATGATAAAAGATTGATCATTTCACAATTGTTGGAAGACCGTAAAAACTCCATTGTCTTCACATTTAGTTGAGCATGGGGGGTTGGTGTGTATATTGTCACGGATCAAGAGAAGATCCGTCCTACATTCACCCTCATCACACAGCATCAAACAGAAAAGAGAACATTTGAGAAAAATCTAAAGAAACGAACGAAAGAAAGAAAGAAAAGATTTTCATTAGATGATAGATGAAGCAACGTTAGACCTGTCAAGTCTCGCAAGTCTAACGGCTTGATGTGAATGAAAGATTTTTTCTTCACTGAAAAAACAAGTCGTACAACGTATGCCGCATCGTTCTCAAAGGGTTAACGAACCATATAATTTGGATTTTCAAAAATTTTAAATCACAATGTCTGAAAAAAATACAAACTTATCTATTACTTTGACGTCAGACTGAAAGCACCTAGATGCTGTCAATAAATAGGTAAGCAATCTAACCGACAGCATCATTATTATCCCAGCTGTTTGTTACGTCGTTAATGTTTTCAATTTCAGATAACCTTTTACATAAATATCAAGACGAGAAGACGACAGTCAATAAATGAAAAATAATTTAACAAAACAACTGAACGTTTCCTAAACTATTTGGACTAAATCGTTTTTTTCAGTACAACGCTTTCCACTCATTTGAAGGTTACAAAGTACTGTAGGATGATGCAATACTCAAACTTTCATGTATCATACTTTTGAGAAAAATCAAGTTCTAAAGAGACATGACGTGCTACGGGAATATTCATTATTGACTGAGTGGTGACAAAATAGAGCTATTCAAAACTCTACTGCGTCTTCTAAAAATTCGAATTTGCGGTGTCCATGATTATTATCAACAGCCATTATTATTCCATGTATCATAGTTATAACTGAGTCTCTCTTGAGAAGAAAAACACGTATTGACGACCATATTATGACCATTTATAGTGAATACGTTATCACATGTTATAAGTGGAATCTATCTATGAATACAAAATTTTGTCAGCATACTTTACGAACTAAATACTGAAGGTAGACGACTCGTATGTGACTATGAACAGTCCTTATCATATTCTAATCAAAACACCTCTGTGTATTTGTTATTGTCGTAATGAAACAATTGTATACAAAAAAAAAAAAAAAAATAACTGCACGATTTTCTTTTCTGATGACAGCATATCAATCAATATTTGTGAAGGTCTTATTTGATACGATATTTTTCTTTAGAATTTCATCAGTAAAAAACAATCATTCTATAATTAAAATTAATCATGCATAGTATACAATGGTTTTTGCTTTCAATAGTTTTCCAACTGAATTTTTTCTGAAATATTTGATAATTCTATATTTCAGTCTAAGTTTTATCATCTTATGTTGAAGTCGATTATTAATAATTTCTGAACGAAACAATATGAAATATTTTTCGCTCAACAAGAAATATCTTTTCTTTTTCATTATTCGATGGAAATTTAGTTCATTATTCAAGCATCGTAACAACTGACACTGATGAATCGTTCGATTCATTTATACTTTAATACAGAAGATCGTGCTTTACGCATAAAAAAAATATTATTCTCAAAAGAGTTTGTTTAAATTAAGTATGTTTCTTGCAAAATCATTTAAAAACAACAAACAAAGCAGAATGACTTTTTATATTCATGTTTGGTCAACTGTAATATTTCAATAGAAGCCTACCATGTGTTCTTCATCTACAAGCATACCATATTTAACAAAACAATTATCTTGTCAGAATTTTTTAACGAAACACATAACAAATTCAAAGGAAATCGTTCATTGATAAGTTTTTTTCTAACTGTTCCATTCCTAATGATTCAATAGATAATGTGATTTACTAGACTGCAGTAGATATATGATAATAAAATGAATACAAATCAGATGCTATTAAATCTTTCTTCTATCCATAACATTCAATAATAAGAGAAGTTTAAACTTGATTTTTCCAGTTAATGAAATTTTTATGCTTTAGAACATTGTCAATCTTGACAGTTCAACCTCGTAAAACTTACACTAACTCTTTCAATAATCATGCGGAAATTTATCAGATACATTCATCATATATCTAACGTAAGTTTTTTATCTGTAATAAAAGCATTACTTTTACAGTTTAAGAGTTTTGAATGAAAGAAATGTTTAGAACGTGTCATAGTAGCTAATAAAAGTTTTCTAATATTAAAAATTATTATTCTTTTGGTCACATTGTATTTCTTAACGATCATCATTATGAGTTGATTCGCACGAACATATTTTTCATTATGTTGAAGCGACCATCGTATACTTCATACGTTTGTGTTTCTAATGATGATCCAAACATTTTTACTTGTTCTATGGATTTTACACAGTCTATACGTGTAATGACACATTGAAATTCTTAAAAATAATGATGAATCAAAAATAAATATGATATGATTTAAATAATTGATTGTCATCGAGACACATTGATTCAATTCTTCTAACTAGACGTGTAAATATGTACAAAATTCACTGAGAATATAATACATGCCCAAAATGGCACAGACTTCGCACGTCAATGTTAATTGACGTACGTCCTATTTTTCCCCTGTCATCCGTTGCTCTTCATTTTATATAACTATTTGCACATAGTTCAATAGACATTGTTAATCTTCTTTTCACATTTTAATTAGACTATTATCCCACCACATGTTTTTTTTTCTTCCATATAGCGATATATTGGTATGTACATTTTCTTCTCTCTTTGTTCTATTGATTTGACACGCCCTCTCTCTCTCTCTCTCTCTCTGATAGTATCCGGATCTATAAAAAGAAGAATGATGAATCGAAATAAAACAGTTATCAGACAATAACAGTTTTGCTTGTTACATATCATACAACACGTGTACCAAACACTTTTATTCAAAACAAATTGCAATTTTATAATGACCGATTCATCATTTGACAATATTTCTGACGCCAACAGTACAGAAACAAACTCATGTGACATGATCTATACAAAGGATGGATTCACTTCGGTTTCATTATGTCTAATTGTGGATATGATTGAGGAGGCATTCGAGATTCGATCTACAAGAACAGTCGCCACTGCCACTGAACTAGAAGATACAATCGCAACATCTAGCAATACAAATGACCTAGAAAACGAAAAAGCATCGTCTCAATTTGAAAATCTACCATCATGCATCATATGTGATCTCGACCACGATGATATCGTTTCAAATCTACTTCATCGAACAGAATCTAGTGATACAGACGATTGGGAAACCGATACTGAATCATTGTGCAGTGATCCTGCTTCAACATTAGACGTCTCTTCATCGGCTAAAACAAAATTCTCATTGCCAGATCTTAAAATATTCATAGATCAACTCAAGGTCTCATTGGCAAACACAAAACATGAAATATCAGAAATGGTATTTGAAACACCACAAGAAGAACATTCTGAACGCTACTGGGCATGGCGTCTTGAAAGAGCAATAAAGTCGGTACAATCTGAAATTGAAATGAACGAATGTAAATGATCGATGTTTATTAATTGAAAAGAAAAAAAACATCGAT